GTCACTTTTGCAGCATCCTCACTGTCACGGGATCAAAATTCAGGTGCTTAGATGACTTGTATTTATGACGGTTTCCATGTCCCGGAGTCACATGATCTGTTTTTGCAAGTTTCCGACAAACAAAGTCAATGGGGAAGCGGGATTCATTTAAGAACAGTCTTACTAACTTACCAACGGTAGTGATTCATTCAACAACGGTGGTGAGAAAGATCGTAAAACAGGGCAAAACTTACGTAACAAATGTTTCACTTAGCAAGAGAAATTTTGGGCGCAACTGGGGTTGTAAGTTGAGGATTACTTATAGCATCCAAAGCATGGGCAGTTGAAATGAATTTCTAAATGTCCATTCTAGATCAAGGAGAGAAGCAACCTAGAACTAAGGAGAAACTTCCTGACCGTTAGAACAATTAACCAGTGGAACTACCTGCCTCCAGAAGCGGTGAATGCTCCAACACTGAAAGTTTTTAAGAAGAGACTGGACAGCCATTTGTCTGAAATGGTGTAGGGTTTCCTGCCTGAGTAGGGGGTTGGACTAGATGACCTCCAAGGTCCCTTCCAACTTTATTATTATTATTATTATTATTATCATCATCATCATCATCTTGTAAATTATTTTGGACAGGAACCTCCTTTTGTTCTTTGCCCTCCGACAACAAACACAATTTTGTTGGATAATGTTTATCCAAAGAGGGCCCTGTGCTGGTTGCTTCACCGTTTCATGATGGACACTGTTTCTCTCACTCAGAAAATTAGATGAATGTTGAATATCTGCTTCAGAACCGAATACCCAATTAGAGAATTGTCGCAATGCTTCGCTGAAAGTTTGACTAATCTCCAGTCGCCACTTCCCCACTTGAAATTTCTGAGGCAATTTTAGGAAGATGCATTAAAAGGCCGACAAGTTCTCATTGGCTTTCGTGGGTTGAGGAAAAAAGAGTCAACCGTGAAAATGGCAGACTCAGATTTTGCTCAGAAACAGAACATAGATTTTTTTTCTACTCATCTCAAAGTACAATTCAAGAAGAAAAAAATAAGTTCTATGAGAATCTTTCCTTGAGAATATCTATTGCTTTAATTTTATTTGGGAGTGTAATATCCAAAGATTTAAATCCTTCATTTCTACCCAAGAATTCCTAACGGAGCTCTAAAAAATACTGTTTTGAATTCTGGCTACAAAACTAATTTCTAATTGGCTAAACAAAAGCGATTCTCATTTAAGTTGTGGGTGTAAATCAAGACATGAACTACTGGATGAGGTTACCAAAAAAAGAAAAGAATTCCAGCATTGTTCACAATATAACTTACCTAACGATATTAATTGGATTATGTTTGTGTGGGGGGCAAATTTAGGAATATCATGGCATAGCCAGATAAAGTATATTTAAAGTAAAGTAGATTATTATTGAGGATGTAATAGAGAGCCAGTTTAGTCTAATAATTAAGACACCAGCCTAGAAAGCAGGAGATGGTGAAATGAAAATGAGATAAATGCCAGCTGGGTGACTTTGGGCCAATCACTAGGAGACGGTGAGTTCTAGTTCCACCTCAGTTGTGAATGCCAGCTGGGTGACTTTGAGCCAATCACTAGGAGACGGTGAGTTCTAGTCCCGCCTTAGTCATGAATGCCAGCTGGGTGACTTTGGGCCAATCACTAGGAGACTATGAGTTCTAGTCCCGCCTTAGTCATGAATGCCAGCTGGGTGACTCTCAGTCTACTCCACCTTACATGATTGCATCTGAATTTTGATCATGTGACCACGGGGATGCTGCAACAGTTGTTAAGCATGAAAAACGGTCATAAGTTACTTTTTTGAACTTCAAATGTCATTAAACAAATGTAAATCAAGGACTATCTCTATCTTAAAATTGCTAAGGTTAAGAAACACGGTCATAAAGCAGCCTCAATCAATACCCTGTCGTTAACCTGGAACAAAGGAGGAATTTCCTGACTGTTAGAACAATTAACCAGTGGAACTACTTGCCTCCAGAAGTTGTGAATGCTCCAACACTGGAAGTTTTAAAGAAGAGATTGGACAACCATTTGTCTGGAATGGTATAGGGTCTCCTGCTTGAGCAGAGGGTTGGACTAGAAGACCTCCAAGGTCCCTTCTATTCTATTCTATTCTATTCTATTCTATTCCATTCTATTCTATTTTTATTCTATATTCTATTCTATTCTGTTCTATTCCATTCCATTCCATTATTCTACTCTACTCTACTCTACTCTATTCTACTCCACTCCACTCCACTCCACTCCACTCCACTCCTCTATTCTATTCTATTCTATTCTATTCTATTCTATTCTATTCTATTCTATTCTATTCTATTCTATTCTATTCTATTCTATTCCTATTCCATAGAATTATTTAGAAGTATAAACGACAATAACTGATCCATCAAATTTATAACTAATGAAAACCACATGTAAGTTCATTTTTTCTAGCACGGGCCTAATTGTTAAGCATATGTTCATTTGATTTGTTTTATAAGCCTTTCTCTTTACTGGTCTCCGGATAGTTCAAATCCAGGAGGCTTTTAGCAACTTTTACTTTCTATGTTAACATGTTGTAATTCATTAGTGTTTCGTCTCCCCTTTGGCCACCAACTGATTCACATTAAGAGCAACTCCCCCGTGGCTTGTTTAGATCTTCCCCGGTTACGAATGGCCTCTGTTGAGATGTACGCTGTTTGTTCACCGTATGGTACACATTTTGTCATTTTCAAGATTCCACATGAAAAAAGGCTTCTGCGATTCCTCTAGTTTCATCAGGCTGGCTGTTTCTTTCACTACCCAACAGGAATAAGCATTAGAGACGCTGACTGACCTGGTTCAATCCACATCCAAGCCAATACTTTTGACTTTGCGTGTCGTGTGAACCCAGGAACGACAAGCTGTGGTTTGTAGTTAGCACGATGCACAAATGAGATTTATTTCACGACGACTTGATATGCCAAAGCAGCCATTAAAGCTGCTCATCCATCCATCCTCTCTTCTCATTTACCAAGCCATCATTCTTTACATACAACCTGGTTTAATCGCTGATTCCTACTCTTTCTTTAAACTGCCCGAAGGAGGAATCAACCCTTACTATCTCACCTACTTTTCATCCGATTGTGATGGGGAAAAAAAAAAAAAAGGATATCACAAATATCTGTAGCTCAGGTGGAGGATGGAGGTTCATCCTCCGAGCTTCTGGTTGGTTTCTTCACCCCATTATCCCCACCTCCCCAAGAACGCCGACGCCTCAACTTTGCTGACGGTGTTGGCCAGGCTGGTAACAAAATGTTCAGAAACCAAGAGAGCTGAAGAAGCACCTTGGAGCAGAAGCGAAATGTCTTCAAAGAAAAATGAGAAGGTCCAGTTGCCTCTTGGAAAATAAAACACCTTCGGGACAACCTGGATCTGGAGGACTGAGAATCTCCATAGACATTAGAATAGAATAGAATAGAATAGAATAGAATAGAATAGAATAGAATAGAATAGAATAGAATAGAATACAACTACGACTACGACTATGGAATGCAATAAGATATGGATTGGAATGGAATTGGAATGGAATAGAATAGAATGGAATGGATTAGAATAGAAAGAATAGAATAGAATGGAATGGAATGGAGTGGAGTGGAGTGGAATAGGAATATAGAAGAGAAGAGAAGAGAAGAGAAGAGAAGAGAAGAGAAGAGAAGAGAAGAGAAGAGAATATAGAAATGAAGAATGTAATGTAATGGAATGGAATGGAATGGAGTGGAATAGGAATAGGAATAGGAATAGGAAAAGAGAAGAGAAGAGAAGAGAAGAGAATATAGAAATGAAGAATAGAATGGAATGGAATGGAGTGGAATAGGAATAGGAATATAGAAGAGAAGAGAAGAGAAGAGAATATAGAAACGAAGAATAGAATAGAATAGAATAGAAGAATAGAATAGAATAGAATAGAATAGAATAGAATAGAATAGAATAGAATAGAAAATATGGAATAGAATAGAATAGAATAGAATAGAATAGAATAGAATAGAATAGAATAGAATAGAATAGAATAGAATAGAATAGAGCTGGAAGGGACCTTGGAGGTCTTCTAGTCCAGCCCCCTGCTCAAGCAGGAGAACCTACACTATCTCAGACAAGTGACTGTCTAGCTTCTTTTTAAAGACCTCCAGTGATGAAGGACCTACAGCTTCTAGAGGCAGGTTGTTCCACTGATTAATTGTTCTAACTGTCACGAAATTTCTCCTTAGTTCTAGGTTGCTTCTTGCTTAGTTTCCATCCGTTGCTTCTTGTCCTGCCTTCAGGTGCTTTGGAGAATAGCTTGACTCCCTCTTTTTTTGTGGCAGCCCCTGTGATACTGAGACACTGGCTATTATGTCAGACCTGTTTCTTTTGAGACACGAACCGTCTTCAAAACAAAAGCCAGAAAGTGTACTTGGCTGCTGAACAAAAAAAAAAAAAAAAAAAAGCACTTTCGGGGCAACCAGGACTGGAGAGGGCTGAGCACCTCCAGAGACGTTCAGAAACCAACCCGCACGCTCGGAGAAGGCTCCTTTCACCCTAAGAAGCCTCTCTCAGATGTTGGACTGGTACCCCACCCTACACCCCATCCCTCCCCCGGTTCTTGCTGGCTCCGGGATCCCTGACTCCTGGCATCTCAGCGCCAGGGGTCCCCAACCCCCTTGGTCCGCGGACCGGTGGCGGGCCACGGCCCGCCAGCAACCGGTCCGCAACAAACAAGCGAAGCCCCATCGGCGGGGATGCAGGCAGCGCGTAAAAGCGCGCGCCCTCCGGGTCCGCGGGAAAGCCTCTCTCTCCGCACGGGACCGCTGGGTCCAGGCTGCCCCAAAGCTTGGGGGGGGGGGGAGAAACTCCGTGTTAGCGCATTCCCACGGGCGAGGTCTCCCCCCTTTTTCCTCGTATCCTTCCTCCAGCTGCTCCCCTCCCTTCCCAGTCCCCCCCACCATCACCACCACCTCTCCAAAACCCCGGCCCCGTGGCGCGCCGGCTTTACCGGAGCTGAGCTGCATCCAGGCGCAGATCTTGTAGACGGTGGCCGTGTTGCAGAAGAAGAAGAGGCTGAAGGCGAGGATGCAGGCGACCACCAGCGCCATGGAGAGCCCGATGAAGAAGGAGGCGGCTTTGAAAGCGCCCGACGGCAGGCTGGCGAAGTCGACGAAGCTGCCCTGGCACGTCAGCTCCCGGGAGACGCCGCTGCCGGTGCAGAAGTGGAAGAGGCCGAAGTAGCCCGCCTGCGGGGTCTCCACGCCGTCGCCGATCCAGTAAGGCTGGAAGAAGCAGACCACGTTGACGATGGCGAAGCAGATGGTGAAGATGGCCCACAGCACCCCGATGGCCCGCGAGTTGCGCACGTAGTTGGCGCGGTACAGCTTGGCCGCCTCCTCGGGGGGCAGGAGACCCCCGGAGGAGACCCCCGGGTTGGAGCAGGAAGAGGAGGAGGAGGCCGGCAGCCCGCTCGGGACGGCAGCCGACGGGGCCCTGGCCGCGCCGGGCATCCTGGCCGACCAGAAAGCCCTTCCGACGACCCTCGCTGGCGGCCGAGAAGAAGAGCCAGCCCGGGCTGCTTGCCCAGCTTCACGGCGGGGGCGGCGGAGGAGGAGGAGGCATCGCCTGCGGGAGGGGAGGGGGGACCCGGGCGGGCTCGGTGCCCGGCGAGGGATGGAGGGATGGAGAGATGGAGGGAAGGAGGGAGGGAGGGAGGAGGCAGCAGCAGCAGCCCGCCGCCGAGCCCCGGCGCGGCACCAGCGCACCGAATGCTCCCCCTAGCGCAGCTCTGGAGTGGGGGAGCCCGGCTGACTCTCCGCCGCTGCGCAATCGCGTCGGGGGCTGGAAGGCGCGGGGGGGGGGGGGAGGAGGAAGAGAGAGAGAGAGAAGAGAGAGAGAAATTGAGAACGAGAGGGGGAGAAAGAGAGAGAATGAGAGAAGGGGAGGAAGAGAGAGAGAGAGAGGAAGAGAGAGAAAGAGAGAGAATGAGAGAGGGGGAGGGAGAGAGAGAAAGAGAGAAGAGGAAGAGAGAGAAAGAGAAGAGAGAGAGAAATTGAGAACGAGAGGGGGAGAAAGAGAGAGAATGAGAGAAGGGGAGGAAGAGAGAGAGAGAGAGAGAGAGGAAGAGAGAGAAAGAGAGAGAATGAGAGAGGGGGAGGGAGAGGAGAGAGAGAGAGAGAAGAGGAGAGAGAGAGAAAGAGAACGAGAGGGGGAGAGAGAGAGAATGAGAGAAGGGGAGGAAGAGAGAGAGAGAGAGAGAGAGGAAGAGAGAGAAAGAGAGAGAATGAGAGAGGGGGAGGGAGAGAGAGAAAGAGAGAAGAGGAAGAGAGAGAAAGAGAAGAGAGAGAGAAATTGAGAACGAGAGGGGGAGAAAGAGAGAGAATGAGAGAAGGGGAGGAAGAGAGAGAGAGAGAGAGAGAGGAAGAGAGAGAAAGAGAGAGAATGAGAGAGGGGGAGGGAGAGAAAGAGAGAGAAGAGGAAGAGAGAGAAAGAGAGGGAGGAAGAGAAAGAGAATGAGAGAGGGGGAGGAAGAGAGAAAGAGAATGAGAGAGGGAGGAAGAGAGAAAGAGTGAGAACGAGAGAGGAGGGGGAAGAGAGTGAAAGAGAGAATGAGAGAGGGGGAGGAAGAAAGAGAATGAGAGAGGGGGAGGAAGAGAGAAAGAGAATGAGAGAGGGAGGAAGAGAGAAAGAGTGAGAACGAGAGAGGAGGGGGAAGAGAGTGAAAGAGAGAATGAGAGAGGGGGAGGAAGAAAGAGAATGAGAGAGGGGGAGGAAGAGAGAGAATGAGAGAGGGAGGAAGAGAGAAAGAGTGAGAACGAGAGAGGAGGGGGAAGAGAAAGAGAGAGAATGAGAGAGGAGGAGGAGGAAGAGAGAGAATGAGAGAGAGGGAGGGAGGAAGAAAGAATGAGAGAGAGGGACAGAGAATGGGAGAGAGGGACAGAGAGACTGAGAGAGAGAGAATAAGAGTGAGAATGAGAGGGGGAAGAAAAAGAAAGAGAGGGACAGAGAGAATGAGAGAGGGGGGAAGGGAGGGAGGGAGAGAGAGAAAGAGAGAGAATGAGAGAAGGGGAGGAAGAGAGAGAAAGAGAGAGAGGGAGGAAGAGAGGAAGAGAGATTGAGAACGAGAGAGGAGGAGGAAGAGAGAAAGAGAGAATGAGAGAGGAGGAGGAAGAAAGAACGAGAGAGAGAGACTGAGAGAGAGAATAAGAGAGAGAGTGAGAATGAGAGGGGGAAGAAAGAGAAAGAGAGGGACAGAGAGAATGAGAGAGGGGGGAGGAGGGAGGGAGAGAGAGAGAAAGTACGAGAATGAGAGAGAGGGAGAGAGAGAGAAAGAGAGAGAGAGAGCGCCGGCCCTGCATCCGAAAGAGATGCCCCCCCCCAGCCGGAGCAGCCTCCCCCTCCCCCACAGGAGCCGAAGCCCGAGTAACAATCACGGGGGGGGGGGAGCACACGCCTCTTGGACTCGCGCAATTGTGGGAGCAACAGGCGGACACGTGTTGAGGAGGGCGGGGGAGAAAGGCGACGGACGGAGTTTCTTGTGGGGGGGGGGGTTGAAAGCCGTCGGGAGTGGGACGCGTGTAAGAGGTGGCGCTGGCCCGCGGCGCGGTAGCTGCTCTTTAAGCGCAGGGTTTGTCAAGCTTGGAAGCTGGGGGGACTTCAATTCCCAGAATTCCCTAGATAGATAGATAGATAGATAGATAGATAGATAGATAGATAGATAGATAGATAGATAGATGGATGGATGGATGGATGGATGGATGGATGGAGATAGATAGATAGATAGATAGATAGATAGATAGATAGATAGATAGATAGATAGATAGATAGGTAGAGATAGATATAGAAAGAGATAGATAGATAGCGATAGAAAGAGATAGATAGATAGATAGATAGATAGATAGATAGATAGATAGATAGATAGATAGATAGATGGATGGATGGATGGATGGAGATAGATGATAGATAGATGGATGGATGTAGATGGATGGAGATAGATAGATAGATAGATAGATAGATAGATAGATAGATAGATAGATGGATAGATGGATGGATAGATAGATAGATGATAGATAGATAGACAGATTGAAGGATAGATGATAGACAGACAAACAGACAGACAGACAGACAGACAGATAGACAGACAGAGAATCAAGGGATACTTGCTAGAAACTCCGAATGTGATGTTCTGTGTCATTGTGACTAGGCCTGTATTCTTTAACATTCACCCAGTTGAAACAATAATCTACATAGATCAAAGCCATGGTAGATCATAATCATCATCAAAGGATTTGGATGGAGGCCAGATTGAAGAATGTCACCAAATGGCACAGAGGTCCAACATGTCCAATTTTGGTCACCATATCACAAAAAAGATGTTGAGAGTTTGGAAAAAAAAATCAGAGAAGAGCAACTAAGATGATCCAAGGCCCAGAGACCAAAACATAGGAAGAACGGCTGCGGGACTTCGGTTTGGCTAGTCTAAAGAAAAGAAGGAATAGGGGAGACATGATAGCAGTGATCCAGCATTTGAGGGGCTGCCACAAAGAAGAGGGGGTCACGTTATTCACCAGAGCACCAGAGGGAAGAACGAGAAACAACGGTTGGAAACTGATCAAAGAGAGAAGCAAGCTGGAATTAAGGAGAAACTTCCTAACAATGAGGACAATCAACCAGTAGAACAGCTTTGCCTCCAGAAATTGTGGGCACTCCATCACTGGAGATTTTTAAGAAGAGACTGGACAGTCACTTGTCTGAGATGGTATAGGTTCTCCTGCTTGAGCAGGGGGCTGGACTAGAAGACCTCCAAGGTCCCTTCCAGCTCTACGTTTACCATCATCCAGATTGTCACCTCTTGCACAAAATCTCAAGAATCATTAGTTACAGAGGTCCACTTGGGTGTTCTCGGCATAAGAGTGACCTGTCCTGGACAATTTTCTTCCAGTAGGTTGATGGAAGATTAGATGAAAGGGAAGAAAAGAACTGGCTGATAGCAAAGGCTGGAACGAATGCGTGGTTTTTTTTTTAATTTGCAATCAATAATCAGCAAAATTAAAAAGGGGTACATCGGCAAGGCAAGCTTTGGCTTGGTGTGCATCATTTTTTTTTATTGTACTGAGACAAAATCTGGCAGTCGTGGGCGGTGGAATATCTCATGTCTGACAGTATAAAACGTGTCGGTTCTGCCAGGTAAGAGAGCAAAATAGAATTCTCACAGACTTCCCTCTGAAGATTATGAAGGGAACATAGAATAATTGCAATACGTTGCCTTGTTTCAATTTCTCCAGAATCCCTTATATATGGGTGACATGGTTGCAGAGCCCTTGGACTTCCATGTGCTTGGTCCATCATGGTTGTCCCAAACTGCTTTTTCAGGAGGCAACTGGACTTTGTTTTTTTCTTGAAGACATTTTTACATCAGTCACCACAATGTAAAAAAGAGATTGAGACTCTGGAAAGAGTGCAGAGAAGAGCAACAAAGAGGATCAGGGGACTGGAGGCTAAAACATACAAGGAACGGTTGCTGGAATTGGGTATGTCCAGTTTAATGAAGAGAAGGACGAGGGGGGACATGATAGCAGTCTTACAATATCTCTCAGGGGTTGCCCCAAAGAAGAGGGAGTCAAGCTATTCTCCAAAGCGCCTGAAGGCAGGACAAGAAGCAACGGATGGAAACTAACCAAAGAGAGAAGCAACCTAGAACCAAGGAGAAACTTCCTGACAGTTAGAACAATTAACCAGTGGAACAACCTGCCACCAGAAGCTGTGAATGCTCCAACACTGGAAGTTTTTAAGAAGAGACTGGACAGCCATTTGTCTGAAGTGGTATAGAGTTTCCTGCCTAGGCAGGGGATTGGACTAGATGACCTCCAAGGTCCCTTCCAACTCCTATTCTATTCTATTCTATTCTATTCTATTCTATTCTATTATTCTTCTATTCCATTATTCTTCTGTTCTGTCATGTCATGTCCTGTCATGTCCTGTTCTATTCTATTCTATTCTATTCTATTCTATTCTATTCTATTCTATTCTATTCTATTATTCTTCTATTCCATTATTCTTCTGTTCTGTTCTATTCTATTCTATTCTTCTATTCCATTATTCTTCTATTCTGTCCTGTCCTGTCCTGTCCTGTCCTATTCTATTCTATTCTATTCTATTCTATTCTATTCTATTCTATTCTATTCTATTCTATTCTATTCCATTCCATTCCATTCCATTCTATTCTATTCTATTCTATATATGTATAGAATTCTATATTTATATACAGTATATTGTCAGTCTGGAGAAGGCAAATGTATTTACATAATTTGAGGTATTATGCCACCTCGCTTGCTTGGTTATTAACCTTATTCTGATTACCTCTTCTTATTAACCTCCTTCCAATACCGTTTTCCCTTTGGAGAAAAGCCCGTTCATTCTAAACAGATAAAATACATACTAACAAGGATCCTCTCTTCCGAGTTTGACTTCTGTACGGCTGGCTACGTGGTCGTCTGCCGGAGCTAAAGATAATTAACCCGTGGAGAAACCTGGCCCTTAAGCCGCTCAATTGATCCTCCAAGCTTTCAACGTGCTATAAGACATCCCAAATGTGGCTGAATGGTGTGTAGTCCTTGACTTACCACAATTCATTTAGTGAATAGTTACAACCAATAGTTGTAACTATTTAATGAATAGTTGCAACCAATTGCAACATCCCTATGG